TTTTTTTTTTTTTGCAAAATTTTAACCTCCCATACCAGCCACAATATTCAGAACTATACCATATGGATTTTTTAATGTGTACTATTATTTTTTTTAATTAATTTAAAAACCCATTAAAACTAGGAATTTTTTGTCCCTTCAAATTTAATGGTCAACATTACCAAATAGACCCTTCTCTACCATAACGAAATACAAAAATACTTGTTCAAAATAAGAGTCCATAAAATAATTTCACATACAAATCCAGCTTAACTAGTGGTCTCGTGTTCGAGCCCTGAGAATGCAGCAGTGTTAAAAACTCTTGAGGGAGAGCTTTGCCGCCCTGTGGTCCTACTCGGCTCGATTCTGGATTAGTCGGTTCCCCTGTGGATTCCGAAATCGGAAGGTCCCTGTACCAAAAAAATATTATTTTTCAAATATTTTACTATATTTAGAAAAAATAAAATACATTAAATACGATGATTAAAAAATGTATTCAACATAAGTCACGTAAATTCCTAAAATTCATTAATATAAATATAAGGGTGCTGATTGAATAAACACTCTTTTTTTTGAATAATAAATTGATTAATTAATGTGCAGTCTCTGATTTCGGGTGGGACCGACACGACCGTTGTGATGTTGGTCTGGGCATTTTCCCTCATACTCAACAACCCTCATGTCCTCAAAAAGGCCCAGGAAGAGCTCGACCGACATGTTGGCAAGCAAAGACAAGTGGAAGAATCAGACATCCGCAATCTGGTATATCTTCAAGCCATAACCAAAGAGACACTAAGGTTATACCCTGCGGGTCCCCTGGGCGGCACCCGAGAGTTTTCCGAGGACTGCACCGTGGGAGGCTACCACGTCCCCAAGGGAACGTGGCTCTTGGTGAATCTATGGAAGTTGCACCGGGACCCGCACGTGTGGGGGCCCGACGCCTTGGAATTCAAACCCGAGAGGTTTCTGAGCATTCACAAGAATATGGATGTTCGGGGCTCGGATTTCGAGCTGATCCCATTTGGCGCTGGCCGCAGGATCTGCCCGGGCTCCAACTTGGGCCTGCAGATGATGCATTTCGTGTTAGCTAACTTGTTGCACTCTTTCGACTTTTGGACGGAGGGCGATGAGGGGATTGATATGACGGAGAGTGCTGGATTGACCACCATGAAAGCCACGCCCCTCGATGTACTTGTTGCCCCAAGGCTATCTCCCACACTTTATGTGTAGAGTAGAGTAGCTACTTAATATATATATATATATATATATATATATATATATATATATGTACGGGTTTCTAATGTATTTGAATGATGATATGTAGTGGTTTTATCTCTTTGTGGATTAATGTTGGGAAATTCCGTACGTACCTGCCCATTCAGTTTGTGCATTCATGGGTTTCTTTAGCACTTGATGGCACACAATGTGTTATGTGTATGTAAGTGTGTGTAAATTAAGGACTTCTTTTAAACTAAAATCATTTATGAAACAAATTTCTTTTTCTTTACTATTCCGTTTGGTGAACTCACAGAGACGAGAATGTGGTGCTTTTTTGGACAAAAATGATGGTTTGTTATAGTTGGTTTAATTGTTTATTTTTTTTGTTTTATTTATTTATTTTCTTTGTTTTAATATTTACTAAGGGCATGCATGATTTGTTAGAAAACTTATTTATCTTATTAGTCACTTATTTGTTGGACAATATATTTACTTAGGGTTGGAAATCCTAATTAAAACTCCTATTTAATTGTTCAAAAAAAGGGGTTGATTTTGATTGAAATAAAACATAGAGAATTTGCTCTTTATTTCTCCCAATTGTTTTCATTCTGCAGATCAATACGATATTCTCCTTCTAGTTCTCTTTTATTCTTCAGTTGTGGATTTCTTAGTGTAGCTTTGTATCTTGTTTGTGGGTGAGTTGTGTTCTAGTTTAGTTCTAGTCGGATTTGCCTTCCCACTAGATTCAACTTAAGAACTATCTTATTCACATGTCGGAATGCTTTATAGTTTAAGCAACTAAATCTAACGAAAGTCGAAAACTGATTGGATTCATTTCCAATGGACTCGTAAATGAGAAAGGGTGAAAATGAGGAGAAAAAAAAGGTGTCTTGTGTCCAAGTCGGTTGAGGAAAAACCCGGACCCGGCTCCTCATACAAGAGCTCCACACCTAAATAGACCAGGAAACAGGTAATCTTTCCCCAGCGTACATAGCAAATTTCCCCCCACTTCCAAAAAAATTAGACGCACATTATTTTTTTTTAGGTACAGGGATCTACCGGTTTCCAGAGGCACATTATTTTGTTTGAATTGAAAGAGAGAATCGGAGATATGCCAATAGAGATGCCAAGGGGGTTGCCATTCTCGGTGGATACGTGGTCCCCTTCTTCCAAGCGGAAGAGCCACCATTTCCTCACACACGCTCACAAAGACCACGCCCAGGGAATCGTCGCCCACGCTTCTTACCCTATCTACTCCTCTCTTCTCACCAAGACTCTCATCCTGCAATACTACCCTCAGGTGCGTCTCTCTCTCTCTCTCTGTTTTCTTTGTTAATGCTTGCCGTATGTTTTACCAGGATCTTCTTCGTTTTTCTTTTCCGTCCCTGTCGAATTTGTTTTTGCAGCTTGATGAATCGATGTTTGTTGGAATTGAGGTTCGGCAGTCGATGATTCTTGATGATCCGTATGGCGATTTTGTCGTCACTGCTTTTGATGCGAATCATTGTCCAGGTTTGTATGTCATGCATGTATGTTGAAATAAAGTAATCATATTCGTGGTGAGTTGAGTTGTGACTGTTCATTATTCATTCGTATGTTAATGTACATGAGCTTTGCAGGTTATGTGCTGATGTTTTAGTGTGATTTTTGTTAATCTTTTTGTGTTTTGTTATTGCCTGGCGGCTTACGCTGTTATGTCTTGCTTATAGCTTTGAGATTGATTGGAAGCCCCCACCCTTTTGTAGACAATATACAATAAAGAGAGACATCATATTTTGTTCATGTGTCATTCCTTACATTTTGTTACAATTGATTATTTCAATGATTATTGTGATAAAATTTAGAATGTCTGTGCAAACAAATGGTCATCTGTTTTCCCAAATTTGTATATATTATAAAAAAGTGTGTTCCCTACTGGAAAGAATGACATCTATTGACCATTGTGACATTCTAAATTTCTAATTGGAGTATATTATCTATATTCACTCATAATTGATCTTTATTATTTTGAATTTTGGAATCTCTTGCTGCCTACACCGTAGCAGAGTAGGTGAATTGTGTTGCCAGTTGCTTCAAGTTTGTGGGTCGCTCTAGCTATTGATTTTGCTATTATATGGATATTAGACTTTTCTATTGTGAAAGAATAAGTTGGAAGCTTTGCTGTTAAATTTTCTCTTCAAAATATGCAATTTGTGGATGCAGGAGCTCTGATGTTCCTCTTTGAAGGAAATTTCGGTAACATTTTGCACACAGGAGATTGCAGATTAGTGCCTGAGTGTTTGCTAAGTCTACCAGACAAGTTCATTGGCAAGGAAGGAAAACAACCTAGATGTCCGCTTGATTACATCTTTTTAGATTGTACGTTTGGTCAATGTGCTCTGACATTGCCTAGCAGGCACACGGCTATCCAGCAGGTATGCTTGTCCTGAGTTTCAATCGAGTAGCTTGTTAGATTTTTTATTTTTTTTAATAGCAGAAAGACATTTGGTTTCTTTTCACACACACTTACTGACATGTATAACCTTGATACATTTCTTACAGATCAATTCAAGTCTTGTACTTATTTCTGTGTGAAATTGAAATATCAAATTTGCTAAAATATTGGATGGTTCAATCATATGGTATTATCTGAGATTTGATTGAACCTCAATTTCTTGCAAGCTGTCAATTAAAGCTAGCTACGAAGCCGTGTGTGTAAAACTTTATCCATATGTGTTCTGTACAGCCTGCGTATTTTTTTGGTACTTTATGATAAGAATCCACGTGGTGTTAGAACTTAGATTCTTCTCTTACACAGAAGACCGATAGCGTATTTACAAGTTAGTATGAGGTAGTGATGAAATAAGTGTTGTAAATTTATATACGCTTGTAATCATAAAATGTATGCTCATTTAGTAATGAATCCAAATATTACTGAAGCAGATTATCAATTGCATATGGAAACACCCTCAGGCCAGCACAGTGTATCTGGCATGTGATCTCCTAGGTCAGGAAGATATACTACTACAGGTTTCTCAAACTTTTGGTGAGAAGATATATGTCGATAAAACCAAGAATCCAGAATGCTTCAAATCTCTCGAACTTATTGTTCCTGAGGTCATGTCACATGACCCAGCTTCTCGTTTTCAGCTATTTGATGGATTCCCAAAGCTATATGAAAGAGCTGAAGCAAGGATAGCTGAGGCTCGTGCCAATTTTCAACATGAGCCCCTTATTATACGCCCTTCATCACAGTGGTATGCTAGTGATGCTGGCACTTCTGAGTTGGAAAAGCGAAGAAAAGAAAGGCAAGATCAAGCTGTTAGAGATCTTTGTGGTGTTTGGCATGTTTGTTATTCAATACACTCATCCAGAGAAGAACTAGAGTGGGCATTGCAACTTCTTGCTCCTAAATGGGTGGTGTCAACAACACCCAACTGCAGGGCTATGGAGCTAAATTATGTTAAGAAACACTGTTTCAACAATCAACTTTCTTTTAATAGATCTCTCCAGAAACTTATGGACATAAGTGCAGTAACATCTATAGGTTCAGATGAATCAGTAGAAAATTTGGGCGGTTCTCAGGAGGACAATATTTCTATTAACTGTGTCGAGGTCCAACCTGAACCAGTTATCACATCCACACACCGAAAAAAGCGGTTGAGTTTATCTCCTCCAAGCAAACGGCCCTCATTGACGTTATTTGGAAGAGCCAGGGCTGGTCTTCACGATTCTGCTTTCCAGAACGAACAGAAAGTACTGGCAGTTAGTGATTACCCAGAGACAACATCAACTGGAAATGAAGATGTTTGTAACCAGAATGATGTCGCTGACGTCGAATTCGGTGATTTACTGAAACTAAAGAGAAAGGGTGATGTTGCAGAAATAAATTGCATTTCTACAGACCTAAATCCAGGGGGACTCAAAAATGATGTTGTTTTACCAACTGGTTCTTCGAGTACATATAATGAAAATTTTAGAAGGGTTTACAGGTCTATGAATGTTCCAGTACCTCAGCGCCTTCCTTCCCTTACTGATTTTATGGATGCCAGAAGTTATCCAAAGAAAATGCGTGAATAATTATTTCCCCTCATTGATCAAGTTCCTTTTGTGGCGATTCTATGGCGGAGCTTAATATACTCATGCTGGTTGTTCATAAATAACTTTTATCTCCCTCTTTCAAACTATCAAACTATGGGTAAGGGATGTGGTTAACTGACTTCTCAGCAAATGTGTCCGATATACTGCAGGTAAACATGAAGCTTTGGATTACTTGCATCTGTACCATTTTATTAGCTAGCATGGTCGACCAAATTCTAATATGAAGTTGTGATTCAATTTTGTGTGAAATGATATGTTTTTCTTCATTTATACATTTTAATGTAGTTGTGCCTTACATGTATGATAAGTTTGGTCTTTGGATTTATGCTTTATAATATTATTCTTTAGTTTGATTGTTCTATACAATGAACTACTGCTGGGGTGACCATGCCTGTACAAAGTACTAATTGCCTCATTTGCTTGCTATGGTCTTACCCAAGTTGTTAATACTTTCAAAGGTTAAAAGTAATGAGTATGTAAACCAAGTGTTTATTTGATTATTGGTCTTCAATGACTAGTAAATAAATTCACTGTAGTTGTTGATGAATTGTGTTATTCAAGCTACACGCTCCTTATTAAACTCAAGGAATCACGGAACCACTCTGGAAGATGAAATCATCTTCCTATATCCCATCTTGGGATTTCTATATGGAAACAATCACCAAATCCTTCTGTCTATCAATAACTGCATGCATTGCACGGTGACTGTGAAGAAGTAATCCATTATCTCGAACATTCCTCCTAGAGTAGCTGTTAATAGGAATAAGAGAAACTCTGTTATGACTCGACCCTATAGGGAAATCCCATTAAATTGGGCATGTCGAGACAAGTAAATAGAAAGCCCCAGGGGCGCCATAGTCTAGGAGCCCCAACATATATATTATAATTATAATAATTATAGTTAATATTGTCAAGGGTCAAATTCAAATCATAGACGTAGATTCGATTTATGATATTCATAGATTAGAAAAATTCAGAAAGAAAAAATAAATAAAGGAAAATTTATACGAAAAGTTCCTTCTAATGATAAAGAATGAGGGACACATTGACTCATATTTCGTTCCAAAATACTCAATTTCTATCTATATCATTTAATGTCTTTGGTTCATCTGGAAATGACAATCAGATAGCAGCTCGCCACTCGCATGTCACCCAGTATCGTCACCGCAGTTTTGGTAAAAATTTTAAGAACTTTTGAAATATTTGACTAGAATCAAGTTTTGATCATTTCATTTTCATCTCATTTATAATGTAATTTCACAATTGTATTGGATATATTTTTATTGTAATCTTGTTTTTTAACTGACTAAATATTTCATGTTGTAGTCTATCATATTTGTGAGAGTCATTGTCTTATGCAACATCTTTTAGATTGAAACTAATATTGGTATCCACATTGTGGTAAACTTTATCATTTGTTAATTGTTGATATGCTACATAGAACATTAAACTATCAAAATAAATGAATTCAAACAGTTTATTAAAATCACTTTCCAGTTTTGTGAAATGTATTCCATTGTTCTCTTACGTTTGTCATTTGTTAGAAGTACACTCTCCTTTTTGTTCTGTCAGGCTTACTAGGTTTTTCTACAAGGATAAGAAAGTCTGTTATTTATTTTTCTTTTTTTCTTTTTTTTTTTTTTAAATTTAATCAAATGTACTAAATTTGCTATTGATTAAAACTTCAATTATCAAATGCTATTGCTATTGGAGAAAATAGCAAGTAATTTGATAAAACATTAATACACTCGTAAGAAAACCTAAAGTGCAGATATAATGAAACGTTTTTTTTTTCTTTCTTTTTTTCTTTTTTAAATGTGGTAGATGAAAGAAACAGAGGGAGTGTATTTTATGTTAGGAGATGATCAAATGACAAAGCATTTTGGAAATCAGCATGCGCCATCAATGCACTCAGAGTTACCCTGCATGTCTTAATACTTCAAATGTTTATTTATTTGTTATATATTGAGAAGGGTTAAACTATAGCAAACGAAGTTATTGAGATAGATTATGTTTACGGTAGCTTCTGGGATAATCAAGCATAAAGAGTTCAGTGATTTTGTTTCAGACATGATTGAGATTGGAGGTCACCTCTAGAATGCTTTAGTCCTGTCTTTGTTCAATCTTTTCTTAGGTGGATTTCGTATCCTTATTACAGTACATTACATTGAGTAAATTTTATTACTTGAGAAATAAATGTAAATAAATCATTGCACAGGGAACGTGCATTTGATATTTCACTTTGATTTAAATCCTACCGGAATTTCTTAAAGACACTGCACATATTTATTTTAGCTTTTGATGCACTTTAAATTGGCATATGGAATGATTTGTCATATGACTCTTTTGGCATGTTTAGTGATAGGGGAAGCATATGCCTTAAAATTTATATATAAAGTGTAGAATTTTTTTGAGGGAGATTGTGTCTTTAATGTTCGGTTACGTATTTGGCATGTTGTTACCTGATTCCGTGAATATGATGTAATAATTTATGTAATCCGACTAAATCGACATAATCGTATTTAGATTATTGCTCTTTCCAGCTATGCATTTATGTGTATTTTTCGATTTCCATCATCTATATATTGTGCCTCAGGCTTCTTAACAGGAAAGCTATTAAACTAGTGATACTTTGTTTCTGCAGCAATGGTGACCTTAAGAACAACAAATAGGAATGGAGGTAACTCCAAGAGGCATCGTCAGATCAAATGGCGCTGGACACTTGTGGAAGACAACCTCCTGAAGAAACTCGTCAAAAGACATGGTGCCGGCAATTGGGATTTCATTTCTGATCACTTCCAAGGACGAACCGGTGTGTGTTTTGCCTATATTCTTGAAATTATATTTGCACTTTTAAGTTCCTTTTAATTTAGATTTTTATGTGGTTTGTGAATTATTTTTTTTTTCCTTTTTAATTTTTGTTTGCCCTTAATTTTTTTATTTTTTTGTTTAATGTTCTTTGTATTTTGTAAATATCCAGGCAAGAGTTGCAGACTGAGATGGATTAACCAATTGGATCCGAAAGTGGACAGAACACCATTCAGTGAAGAAGAGAGGCAGAGGCTTGTTGATCTCCACGGAAAATATGGAAACCGGTGGTCAATCATTGTAAGTCACTTCCCGGGCCGAACAGACAATCAGGTGAAGAATCAGTACCATTTACTGGTGGGGAACAAATACAAAAAGGCCTCACGCCTGTTTTCCACCCCTCTCAGCAAAGGATCTGCAGACGGGAGCATGTCAACAGTTGCAGTCGGTTTGCAGTTTTCTAACGGTACCTTCCAAGGACATAACAATTCTGTCATGTCTGGTGTGACCGAAATGGTGCCTGTGTTAGGTGATGGTTTATCTTCAGTGTTTGGTTTGCATTGTTCTTCTATGCATCCAAATCAGGGGGCGATGAGCCATGGAGATTCCATCATGTCTGATGCCAGCTCGGGTGCTCTCTCGGAATCCTGCCCGCTCCAAGGAGTTAGCCCTGGGGAGTATCAATTCATCGACTTTATGGGGGTTCAAAGTTCAGACTGAAATGCTACCGCTTTATTATTATTATTATTATTATTATTATTATTATTATTATTATTATTATTATTATTATTATTATTATTATTATGTTCTTTGATTTCGATTTTCAGTAAGGTGAGTTGTGTCTTGTTTTGGGATCGTGCGTTGAGGAGATTTCTTATCGCTCTAAGGTTGTAAGGAGCGGAGAGTGCCGGGGGTGTTGGTGTACAAGGATTATATAACTATGTATGTTATGTACTTGAAATGAAAAATCGGTACACTACATGTTTCATTATAATTTATAAATATTTGGTTGGAATGAAATCGGTGCGCTACATGCTTCATTATAATTTTTAAATCTTTGGGAAGCTAATCTTCCCTGTATATAATTTTTGAATGCGTTGAGCTTACGTAGCTGCTTTTGATGCTTTGAAATTTTACTTGGCGAAAAATCATGTTTCATAATTAGGTTTAGACAAAAAATATTGATATATTAATAATTAATAATCTAAGTTCGGACATTTCATAAATATTTTTAGCTAACTTAGGTATTTTAATATCAATTGTACTATTATAATCTTTTAACTCTTTATAATTTTACATATTGAGGTACTAAGTGACTAATATATCATTGACTTTTGATTTGTTTCCTTAAATTAGCTATTGAATTGTAAATGTATTTTTAAAGTTGATAACTTTTGTATTTCTTATCGGTTTTACATATATAATATATCCAATCAATCATCTGTTGATGATCTTCGATTTGACATCCATATTGTATATATGAAATAAATAAATTATATTTATCTTTATAATAATAAAAAATAATAATATTTATTAAAATTTATTAGAAAAATAAAATTATTTTTCAATTGATATATTTATATTTAATGTAGTTATATATATTGTAAGTTAAAAAATTATTATAATATAACACAAATAAGTCGCACAAATAAAAAAAGTCACACTAAATGACGAAAAAAGAAGAAGAAAAAGAAAGGGAATGGGGTAGAAGAAAAACACACGATCTAACACCTCTCAATGAAAGCACCAATGATGAAGATCGTGTGTTTTGATTGCCGATAAGCCACAAACCAGTGCCTTGAATCGCCGATAGTAGCCTAGAGGTCCACAAACCGCACCCCTCTAAACGAATAAAATTGCAATAAAAATCTAGAAGAAATCTAAGACAAAGTGTTTGAACAAAAGTTCAGATTTTTATTGATAAATTTCATGATGAAAAATAACATGGGGAAGGGGCTTTTATATAGGCACAAAATATATCTAGTCCTAATCTACCTAGGGAATTTATTAAAGCAATAAAATATTAAGTAACCTAAATAATCTAGATCTCATAAAGCAATAAGGAAATTAAATATCTAGGGGATCTTGTGTCTTGAGACTCCTTATTATAATTATCCGATTTACCTCCCCATGTTTAAGATATAATGTCCATTAATTAATTCGATCACTAATAATCAAGAATTAATTAATATATTATATTACCGAAGCTAGCGCTCGCTCATAGCATTCATATTATGCCGGAATAAATCCACCTGCAGGGTTTAGCATAATATTCCTTCATGAACTCACTTCGGGGACATCATCACACTAACGCACATGGTGACCGTAAATATCCTAATAGCACATCGAACACATAATGTCATTACCCAATTCATTAAGTATGTCGACCCGGCTTGGATCTCACCCAAAGAATCAAAGCAACAACAATTATGTGCACATGCCTATTTAATATCTTACGGGTTAAGAGCACGCAATAATTAACTGAGGCCTAGTTCGTTTACGACGATCAGTATAAAACGAACATCCCTCTCTGGGATCCTGTTCAATACATAAATGTACTAGTGCAACTAATCGGTCAAGACAAACCGTACGGTTGACACTACAACCGTTTCGATGGGTTGTTCAATTCCATCTAGGTTGTGAACCAATGATTCTTGTTTCGCAAGTAACTGATATAGTGATCTTCGGTACGCCCGATGACGACCCACTTATCTACATGCAAAACAACAGAACGTGGAACTTATTTAACCAAACATAATTCTCATTCATCAAGAAATAACAAGTGTAATATCCACTAAAGCAAAGCTTAAGTATATAACACCAACAATCTCCCACTTATACTTAAAGCTGCCGCTTTACTAGTATAGTCCTATCAATCCGTATCCTAAAAGACCTATGTCGATCCTATCACCATACATTTGATCCCATTCCCTCTACGTGTTTGGCGAAGACCTTCTCCGGCAAACTCTTCGTAAAAGGATCAGCTAGGTTGTCTTCTGATGCAATCTTGGTGATCTCAACTTCTCCTCTTGCCACAATATCTCTGATAAGGTGGTATTTGCGCTCTATGTGTTTTCTTGCTCTGTGGGCTCGTGGTTCCCTTGAGTTTGCTACTGCACCACTGTTATCACAGTACACGGTAATAACACGTGGCAAACTCGGAATCACTTCTAAGTCCACCAAAAAGTTTCTGAGCCAAACTGCCTCTTTCGCTGCCTCAGAGGCTGCGATGTACTCGGCTTCCATAGTGGAGTCTGCTACGCACTTTTGCTTAGCACTCCTCCATGAAATGGCTTCACCTCCCAAGGTAAACACATAACCTGAGGTTGACTTACTCTCGTCCCTATCTGACTGAAAATCAGAATCGCTGTAACCCAGCGGAGACAAACTGTCTGCCCGGTAAACTAACATGTACTCCTTAGTCCTTCGCAGGTACTTGAGTATATGTTTCACCGCAGCCCAATGTTCCCTTCCTGGATTACTTTGATATCTCGCTACCATGCCAACGGCGTAGCTAATATCAGGCCTAGTGCACAGCATTGCATACATGAGACTTCCTACTGCCGAAGCATAAGGAACTGTCTTCATGTCCTCTATCTCCTTAGTCGTCTTGGGAGACAACTCCTTAGATAAAGGTACTCCATGTCTGAAAGGTAATATACCTCTCTTAGAGTTCTGCATACTGAATCTGGCCAAGACAGTATCTATATATGAGGACTGGGATAAGCACATCATTCTTTTCTCACGATCACGAATGATCTTGATACCAAGAATGTGTCCTGCTTCACCCAAGTCCTTCATATCAAACTGCTTAGACAACCACGCCTTTACGTCCGACAACTCCTTCTTGTTGTTGCCAATAAGAAGTATGTCATCCACGTATAGCACAAGAAACACCACCACGCTTCCACTAATCTTCTTGTATACACAGTGCTCATCCGGACATTGGGTGAATCCATATGACTGGATTACCTCATCAAACCGAATATTCCAAGACCTTGAGGTTTGCTTCAGTACATAAATGGACCAATTAAGCATACAAACTAAGTGCTCATGCCCTTTTGCAATGAATCCTTCTGGTTGCTGCATATAGATGTCTTCCTGAAGGTTCCCATTAAGGAAAGTCGTCTTAACATCCATCTGCCAGACTTCATAATCCATATGAGTGGCTACAGCTAAGAGAATCCGAATGGATTTAAGCATAGCTACTGGCGAAAAGGTTTCATCATAATCGATACCCTCTTTCTGGGTACAACCTTTTGCAACAAGCCTAGCTTTAAAGGTTTCCACCTTTCCATCCGAATGAGACGTATCCCATCGGGTGGTTCTACAAGATCCCAGACCTGATTGGTGTCCATAGACCCCATCTCAGCTTTCATTGCAACCTTCCACGAATTTGCATCTCTATCTTGGAGTGCGTCGTCATAAGTTCTTGGGTCCGATTCTAGGTCTCCTGGAACTGAGTCCGATGACTCTCCAAGACCTATCCATCGGTCGGGTTGTGTAGAAACCCTCCCACTACGACGAGGTACCGTCTGTACTGGCACACTATCAGTGTTACGTGTTGCAGTACTATGTGATGTATCTACTTGCGCACTCGGTGGGGAACTATCGATATATCTCCCTAACTCCTCTAGGATAAGTTTACTACTGGGCTTATGATCTATGATATAGTCTTCTTCCAAGAATCTAGCGTTCGTACTAACGATCACCTTCTGATCCTCAGGACTATAAAATAAAACACCTTTCGTTTCCTTGGAATAGCCGAAAAACAGTCTCACTTTTGATCGTTTCTCCAACTTGCCAGCCTCCTGCACTAAGACATGTGCAGGGCAACCCCAAATTTGAATTTGTGAGAAACAAGGCTTGCGCCTTTTCTACAACTCATAAGGAGTACTGTCTACTGATTTTGAAGGAACAGAATTCAGAATGCAACATGCTGTCTCTAATGAAAATCCCCAAAACGAATCTGGTAACTTCCAATAACTCATCATCGACCTAACCATTTCCATAAGAGTTCTGTTTCTTCGCTCTGCAACCCCGTTCTGCTGGGGCGTTCCGGGTGCAGTCAGCTGGGATTCAATCCCTGCTTCTGATAGGTATGTCCTAAACTCTCCAAAGAGGTATTCACCTCCTCGATCAGATCGAAGACACTTGATACTTTTACCTTGTTGTTTCTCCACAACTGTCCTATACTCCTTGAATTTTCAAAGCATTCGGACTTGCGGTGCAACAAGTAAATGTACCCACATCTAGAATAATCATCAATAAAAATGACGAAATACTCATAGCCTCCTCTAGCTTGGATCAACATAGGACCACACAAATCAGAATGAATCAATCCTAGCACTTCTTGGCTCCTTCGCCCCTTTGCCAGAAACGGCCTCTTGGTCATCTTACCTTCTAGGCAGGACTCGCAAGTCTGGTAATGATCTTCTACTGGACCAAGATGCCCAGTAGATACCAACCTCTGAATCCTCCTAAGGTTGATGTGCCCAAGCCTAAGGTGACAAAGATATGCTTGATTCATCGAAGACTCTTTTCTCTTATTAGTTTTAGTCGAGACATTATTCGATTCATTTTGTTGCAGTGTGGGAGACTTTGGTTTCAGAACATATAAATTATCAACTATTGAGCCAGAACAAATCAAATAATTACCATAACGAATAACAACTGAGTTATTAAACGAAACTGAATAACCATTCAAAACGAGTTTAGAA